AAAATTAAACAATGTATCTTAATGTATGCAAATATAATGAACAAAATACAAAAACTTATCCTTTCTAAACAATACAATAGATTATATTTATCCAAATAACAAACTATTTGGACATACACATAATAATCAAACAAAATACACACACATACATACAATTTATTTGAGTATAAACTCAAATAACAATCAGTATAATGCCCAAAAAGAATTAATAACTAAATTAGACAAAGAAAACAAATAACATTGAAATTATTCAACAAAACACATTCACACATTTATACACAATGCTTAAATGAATAATGAAATGATGAAAACACACAAACGAATCAATTACACACACACAAAAGCTAATTGCTCAAAGCAAACCTTCTCAAATTGAAGAGGAGTAATAACAGCATATATTCACAAAACAAACAATTGAAACATAGTAAACAATTAAATGATGCAGAAATATTGACTACATCACTATTTAATCCTGCACATCCCACAAAACACAATTATAAAGTTATTACAATGAATTCAAAGCAAATCTGTTGAATCTGACAAGCAAATCCACTCAATCTAACAAATCTGATAATAAAATACCTATACAAGAGACACTTTCTCTGGAATCTTTGATGGTCATACTATACATAGTACTATTGAATGTATTACAAACAAATATATTACAGAGCATATACCTAAACATGGAGAAGTATGCTACATACAAAGATATTGAGTGGAAAAGCATCTCTAGTACATAACAAACTATACAGAACTATTGAACAGAACTATGCTTTCCACAACAGAACATGTATTACATTGAAAATAACAATCACACATCATGCAAAACTTACAACACTTATTCTCTAACATGTAGAACATAATAGCAAATGAATAAATAAGTAAACAAAATAATATTCAGACAGATAACTGAAAATTAAGGTAATGAAGCCAAGGAATAGCACATATTCCCAAAGCAATCTACACTAGATGTGTGAAGCACTTGCTAAAATTAAAAGAAGCAACAGAAATAACAGTAATCAAAACATTAATCCTTTTGAATAAAACAAGATAATGTTGATCATAATGAACAAAAATGAGCAATACACTCAAAAATAAACAAAATAAATTCATATTTCATAACAAACACATACATATATTCAGTAAATAAAGTGAATATAATGACTAAAACAATACTAAACAGAATTTGATACAAAATAAACAATAAACAAACGAATATTATGATATACAATGAAAAATAGAACTGTAAAATACACTATTTCATCTATCTATGAAATAAAAACAGTAAACATGTATTATGATTGTGCAAAGCAATATATTAATCAAATAACATTACACAACAATAAAACAATACAAACATACAAATAACATTATAGTTTGTAAAGTTGAAGGACACATTAATTGATAACAAATGTAATGCACACATATATTAATATTAAATATATCTATTATAAAATGGTGAAACAATACAAATGTACCATATGTTTAAAACATAAATAATGTGCCTAAACAGACTTACAAATAGTCAGATGATAAAACAAAACAAATTACAACAAATAAAACCTTGATCAACCTTAATATGAAGTGATCTGACATATTATACATGATATTATGAATTACAAACAACACAATGCTTCAATATAAAGGTATAGAACTACTATTAAATGCTTAAAAGGTATGAATACAAAACAAACATGAGCAAAGATGATACATAATGAATAGAGGACATCATAATAACATTGACAGCACATTTTACAGGCATGATTCAACAGTTTCATTATGAAAGTAAAAGTGGAAAAACTACTAGTAACACAATTCAAATGTGCAAAAATATGAATTAACAAGAACAAATTAATAACACACATTGTTATTAAATATAGTATTAACTATACAAATGAAACAATACAAACAAATTACAATTCTAATTACACATTGAGTGTAAGAATACAAAACAAACTACACATATAATAATATGAATACAGACAGAACAAATAACAGAACAACTGTAGAACAATACAGTATAATAAAATAAACATACTATAATACAAAACAAGCAATATGACATGAAAAACAAACAAAACAAAGTTATAACATATTATATTATATTACAAACAAGAAGAACTACTATCATACAAATGATAAAACATTATAGTGATGACTATAACATTAATAACAATAAAACTATAAACAAACAAATGCTAAAGAGATTCTGCAGCTCTCTTAGCAATCATAATTGAATTAACAATTGATTTATTACATTGAACATAATAATAATACATTGGACAAATGTAACACTTACAGTGGACTTAATACACAAAGCAAACAAAACACTTACATTGTGAATGTAAATGATATTAATAAAAACAACAGACAAATGCTTATCAAACATTATATTAGCCTGATCAACTAGTATAAGTTTGAAGGGGAGTGTTAACATTTATTTTGGATAAATGTGTCTAATGTCTTACTATGTATATATATACATCATACAATGCAGAACTGTCTCATTACAGTGTGTTATTACACTGAGACATCAACTGAGACATATATCTGAGACATACAATATAGAATAGTATATATAATACTTTAATCTAAGGATGATGAAGCTCATAATTGTATACAATGAATTACAAACTATACAGTCAATCTGTATCAACACCTACACACTATGAGTAGAGTCTACTGAACCCCTACTTGTGTGACTTACTCTTAGAGAAACATTACAACCTTAAAACACTAACAATTACTTTACTCTATATTATTATGTATAAAAGGTTCCTTCTTTTTAAGTAGTATACTCTACTCTAGTATCTCTATATATAAGAATTGATTCTTTAAAGTTTTATATTTACTTAAAAATAAAATATTTATACAGATGGAGGTAGGTGCTAAGTAAGTCATGTGTGTAGGAAGGATCAGCACTACCACTCTTTCATGCAACAAATACTGCTAAACAGTTGTAGTTTTTTCCATAAAAATTTTACAATGAAATCTATAGTATATAATAGATAAATTACATTGGCACAATGTGTTGTTGGCTATAAAGCACACTGATAAAGGTTGGAACAATCTTTACATAATACTACATGTGACTTACTTAGTACCTACCTCCATCTGTACTTATTCTATTTAATAATTACTTTAAGTTATTCAAAACTTATATTAAATATATACTTACTAAATTTAACTTTACTAACATTTGTTAAATTACAGTACCTTATATTAGTAATAGTACTTATATGTCTATTTATAAGAGAGATTAAAACAATTTATATTATATAATATGTAAAACTTAACAAAATTTCTTAAATTAAAAACCTTTTAACTTTTGTATAAATTGTATTTTAAAGTCTTTCTTTTTAAAGCTTAAAATACATATTAAAACACATTTCTGTTATTATAATCATTCTTTAGAATACAATTATATTGAGTAGAATCTTTTAAATTAACATATTAAACAGAACTATTTAATAATTAGTAATTATTAAATTATAATTAAACAGTTATCTTTTTATTTTCAAAAATGTAATAAATTTAATATATTTTAATATGAATTTAAGTGTTGATTTAAACAAATTTGATTAAGAATTGGGTCTAGAAAAAAATTGTATTGTATTAAAAGTAATATTATATATAAGACTCAAATTTAGTAAAGTTTATTTTCTTATATACTTAGAAACAGTTAAGAGACAAAGATTCTTTACATATTAGAAAGTAGTTTAGTATAATTACAAATGTAAAGTACTATAAGTGTTTTATATATAGTAAGTTAACATTTTTAAAAGTTTATTATATTAAATACCTTTTTAAACATTATTCTTATTTTATACTTTACTTTATAAGTATAGTTAAGAATCTTGTATAGTAAGTTTGTAAGACTTGTACTATAGCTATGTTGGAGAAGTGTTTGTCTTTCCTGATCAGGCAGATACATTAGTAAGTGATTTACATTAATTTATTAGGCAGTTTGAGATGTGTCAAACCTTCATCTTGTGTCTCAAACTGTCTAATAAGTTAATGCAAATCACTTACTAATGCATTTTCTTAATCAGGAAAGACAAACACTTTTTCTACATAGCTGTAATATAAGCAAGTTTTACAAAGCAACTATTCAAACATATTATTATTTATTATTTAAGAATAAAACATGTTATAAGGAAAAAAATAATATGAGTACTTGAAATAATAACTATAAAGAGAATAAATATCAAAAGTAAGAAAACTCAAACTAGTAGAAAATACTATTAAGAAAGTAATTAGTATATATATTATACTATTCTATAATCATTATAAAGACTTATACAAAGAATTAATACTAAGTTATAATCTGTAAATTATACTCTACTAATACTCTACTAAAGACTAGTAAGACAAATCAGAGTGTGTTTGTTACAGTTGTTAACATAGAAGAAGGAGTATTGACTGAGTTTGGTAAGTTTGGTATAGTATACTTAATAAAAATATAGTAATAATAGTAAGGTTCAAGTATTATTAGTTTGAAATTTTTCGTGTCTGTTTAATCATTGTAGGAAATACTTTCATGTGTAGTCTTTCCTTGAGACACTGTATTGAATTCTTGACCTTGTGCTTTAAAATTTATAGTTTAAATCCTTGTAAATATGATCAAGTCTGCTATTATTAAATGAATGGCATGGATGTGATACAGTAATACTGAGAAAACTAAACACAACCTCAGCCTGGACACCCTGAAGCTTTATAGAGAGTTGCCTGGGATTGACTGTTGGAAATTTGGGCCCCAAAGCAGAAACTGCAGACATGCATTTTGTATTCAATCCTACAGTCCAGAATTGAGATTCACCGCGAACTGTAACAGGCACGTGCCAGTCACGCCTGGGAGCCGCTGAGCAACCCATCCACGTCCTTCTCCCTGACTTCCATTATCTGTGCGTGTTCATTTTATCAATCTGAAAATAATATTTAATGGATTGGGTCATAGCAGTTTATGCACCTGCCAAGCAATATTTGGTCGCTACAATCTCATGGAGGACCTTCCAGATCCTCTTCCTGACCTCGACCCGGATGGACTTCCAGAGCTAAGATCGTTATCACACGCTTGGCCGTTACTCTCGATCCCGAAGCTAGAGGAAAGACCTCAGAATCCTATCATAGCATCTTTGAGTCGTGTTTCGAGTCATAAGTCACGCTCAAATGTGGACCCCTTTATCCAAACACATGACATACATGTAGACCTGGCAGACGAGGTAGAAGACGACGGAGATCTAATGAATATCTGGCTTCAAGCGAAGGAGATACGCTACGATTATAAAGTACGTTATCTTACTGAAGGCGAAAAGTCAGTATATATAACGTACCTCAGAGCCATCTAGTTTCATGGGACACACTTCGTAATACATACCTAGGCCCCAAATCACCGTCGTCATTCATATCCGAGCAACCTTCAGATATCGTGATGGTTGCACGGAGGACCTCAGGACTTCTGTCTTCCGCCTCAAATACAGGTGCAATTTCTGTTAGCGCGACTGAACTCCATGACCTTCTTTCGTCGATGCTTGTCGGTTGTGCATCGGTGTACCACAAATGGAATGCAGATGAGGAGCAATTCGTGTTGATTAACTATGGAACCGAAAAGCGTCATTTATTTCTCGACGGAATGGACGAGATTGTCAGCAACAGGTGACCTTAGTTCTTTGGTGTTTATTGAAGATTCGCTTACTCAATATATTCAAGTTACGTCTCGCGATGCGTCGAGTTCGGCACGTTATTTCGTAGACTGCAGACACTGACAGCAGGGTTGCAAAACAAGTTAGTTCTTTTTATATTCTGACTTCGTACAGAATTTTACGTCAAAGTCATAGTGACAACACTAACAACTCGACCGTTTCTGCGTTTGCGCACTCTCTGTCTTCGGTACTAGTCTGGATAAGGCACAAAGTTACGGAAGCACTGTCAGTAACAGAAGAGTCGATCTGTAACATATGGGTCGCTCTGCAAGAGGTGGAAGAAATCGTATTGGCTCTTGCTTCATTGTCTTCTAGAGTAAGTGATTAGTTCAGGTCCTGATGTTTGTTTTTAACCGACTTGCAGGGCTTAAGTCTTGGCCCTAAATCTTATCAATCCCTGCCTCAAATACCTCAACGACTTCTCTCACATATCTACAATTTTCTCACTCTTCAGATCGAACGCCAAGTGCCTCGTGTTGTTCGGGGCATACTTTCTTACGTTCTAACCATTACCTCTCGTCCGTATTTCACAGCTCTTGCACATTCAGTGGGTCTGGTCGGTCTTGCGGACTTGCTTGCCGATGCGCGCAGAAGGCTGACGAAATCGCATGGAGATATAATGCTGGATGACCAAGGCAGTGATGGTTCGTATCCGGATTCCGAGGTGGAGTCTGAATTTAATACGAATAACGAATTCCCGAGCTTCATATTGGACGGCATCCGTGATGCTGCCATCCGCGCACGAAGGTCGATCCGTATACTGTCATCTCCGGAATTTGAGGACGTACAGGTGCTTGATCTACCGGTGTTTAACGGCTTGGAATGGGTCTGGACGGACGAGGAGGTGTCAAACCGCGCTCTTAAGCAGAAATCAGACGCTTCAGGATCGGATCCGTCCAGTTCACAGGAAGTCACACACCGGCGTATCTTGGAGGCGTCAGTGCAGCAGTACAAACCTGAGTTAGCTGCGCTAGCAACTTTTGATCTTGAGCCTGGTTGCCATATATCTGCTCCTGGAAAAGATGTCACCAGTTTCGTCTTCACCTACCCCACACTGCTCCCTTCACTAGCACCAACACTCCCTTTACTCGCGGAGCACGTCCTTGCTCCCATCTCTATTCAGGCAAATGCTCTGGGCCGTGCAGCATTGCAACGTTTTCTTACGCCAGGGACGTCACTCCACTTTCGTGCGCATCTTGTTCTTCTTCGCGCTTATCTCCTCCTTACCGCACCAGCGTTCAAGGCGCGGCTCACGGCAGCGCTTTTCTCGGACGCTGATTCGGATGAGGACTTGGACGCAGACGTACAGGAGAACCCGATGTCTATTGCTATTCGAAGACGGACACGAAGCAGAAGTTGTCGGACTACAGAGTCACGAGGTGGAGAACAACAACAAAGCGTTTACGATCAGCCGTGGCCAGTTGGAATCGCTCTTGGACTGACAAGACGAGGCCAATGGCCTCCTGATGGTTCTGAGCTTGCATTGTTTCTACGTCGCGTGATCATGGACTCTCTAGATCATGTGCGAGAAGCGGAGCTCGTCTTCGAAGGTAACAACCATAAAGATGACTTGGGTGATGACGAGTTCTGGGATGACGCAGAAAATCGACTTGGATTTGCGATTAGAGATCTGCCAGACGGGACAGGTCGAGAAAAATGGCTGGATCCAACAAGTAGGTCGTCGAGTTACTAACATGAATATTTTACTAACTTGTACCGCTATCTAGCGATCGAGTGCGTCCTTAATGTTTCTTTACGAGGAAGGAACTGACACTTGCTGACTCATATTTAGGGCACTAGATTTTCTTTATATGCAATACAGACCACCTATCCCCCTGCGCTGTTTAATAACAACAGACATTTTGTCGAAATATCAACGCATCTTTGCTTTCTTGCTTCGTCTTGTTCGAGGTTAGTTTATCGGAGGCACCGTTCTTTCAGCGCAGTACTTATTCCATATATACCAGTTGAGACTGCTATGCGTCTCGCATTCCGCTTGACTCGACGTTATTCATTTGAGCATGTCTTCGTCAATTACCCCAACGCCCAATCCCTCATCCAACCCTTCCGTTTCGCTGCACAGGCCTTCCTGTCGGCCTTTTCCGCTTACGTGGCAGACACAGCAATCCGTGGCAACGTCGATGCGTTCATTGCACGTGTGCGTTATGCCGAAACTGTAGCTACATCGAATCCTGAGAATCAAACTGGGCCCTTTGTGGATGTTTATGCACTCATGCAAAGGCATTCTCGAACGCTTGACGCTGTTCTCGCTGCATGCTTGCTCCGTAGTGCACAGCGCGCAGTTGGCGATATCATGCGCGCTCTTCTTGAGGTCATACTGGAGTTCGCGGTCCTCGTCGGCAATGCATATCGCTTTGCTGGTGGAAACGTCAAAGAAGGAGTATTTGACGAAGAACGTGCAGCCATGCGTGTGGAAGCTTTGTATGGCAAGTTTTGTAAGACTCGAGATGCATTGGTTAGTATTCGTCTTTCATTCGGGAAAGGATGTTTCGAATTCTCTGATGCTTTCGTGATGCAGGTAAAGGCGCTTCGCAAGATCAAGGAACGAGGGGCGAAGCCTTTCGCGTCGGAAGGTCCCGGTCGTCCTTACGACGGCCTTCCTTCTGCGTCTGGTGGAATGGAGGCGTTGTCTGATCTGTTACTTCGATTAGCAGAGATCAACGACGGAAAGAAATAACTTCGGCTTTGTCTCGGACGGCAGAACTGTACGGCTTAGGATTACTTGGGAGAATGGGCTCATTGCAAATTCAATTCGCTCAGACGCATTCACATACGGTGACTTGAACGTGATTCTGTATGATATGAAGTGTCACCACGCGAACAGGCAAGCCTTTCCCTTGTGCTGCTTCTCGTGTGTCGGTTGGCAAGCAAGTGAAACTCGAAACAGACGGGCTGAATCCAGACGTGGCACCTATGCGACACTTCAGCATCTGCAATCTAGTTAAACTCTACTCCTGGTGAATCAGAACGAAACTAGAACTAGCAACCAGTTATCTTAAGGAAGACCATTCATCCACATGTGTATAAAGTTTTCGATACATGCAGCTTCTCACGCATCCATCTTCGATCCTTCGCGAACATACCAATCATCTGTTATCAGTTATGTTTTAAGAACATCCGCAGGCCAGTCTTGGACTTGGGTTTGGTGTATACGAATGTGCTACTGAGAGCTGGGCAGCTTTCCGCACGGACCGTCTTTAGTCTGCTAATCTGAAAAGCATCTTCTCACTCTATCGACCAACCACGCAAGGACGGTGTCCGGAATCTAATTTTGAGTCATACTCCTAGGCAATATTAACGATAATAGACGTGTATGACTGTGGCTATCGGGTGTAAATCGTGTCCCGATTAACATCCCCCCCCCCAACTTCCATTCGTTCCTGTTTGTTCTTGAGTTCACAAGGCATATTAAGGGTCAACGGGATCAGCAAAAATTGCAGCAACGTGATTATATTGCAACCAATGCACTACCCATGTGGTTGAATGTATGACTTTTACATAGCTCTGCACGCGGCATCAAACTGGGTGTATGAATCCGCAGACGAAGAGTCCAGAACACCACTCAATTTTATTCGCGTAAAAGGTACGCAGTATACTGGCCGGCGAGTTGCGGGTAACACAATGGAATGCATCGAATATGTTTGTAAATTACAAGTATACATATTTGGCTTCTGAATCCGAGTTATTCAATTGAATAGTATGCTAAACTATTGGCAGCCGGATCCGATGCCTTGCTCGAAAAGGGTAAGCTAAGATGAAGACCTAAGCTGACGCCAAGTGGCCTGTAAGGTCTATATCCGACTGTCGTAGGTGGACAATCCGTATAACCGGATAGTACTCGGCGCTGGGATGAATTGCGGTAGGATGAAATGTAGACACAGAGAAGAATTTTTTTCGCCTTCTCTCGTCCTTCTACATTCCTCTCTGTTCTATAGCGGACGTTTGTATATGAATACGTTTCCTTCTTAGCATGGACGAGGAGAGGTAAAGATATCTCAGGCACAAAATCAAAGACTGATTAGCAGTACGGAGATAAGTAGCGCTAAGCAAGTGATGAACAACAAGCAAGAGCGCTGTCCTTTTGCTCCGTGTAGGTTAGTCGGGGAATAGACCAGGTACAAAACCGCATAGACGTCGCCTCGCTCTTCTCACACTTCACACACTTCAATAAATTTATACTGTATGGAGAAAACGTGAAGTTGATTTGGATGGGGGATTATCATGATATCATCATCAAGACGCAAATTTTGTATCCTTATTTGTACATATTTACCTGCGTGTCCATCAAACTCTCTCTTTTAAGTAGGATCGAGATAAGCGACTCCCTTTATTGGGGATGTCGTTACGTACAACCGCGAATCCGCGTGTACCGTCTGCTGCGGCTTCGCGGCTTTCTTTCAATTCTTGTCGCCTGTCATGTTCTCAAATTCTTTCCGTCTTTCCTATCTCCAATCGGCAACGAAACAGAACCAGCTGTGGGTCGCATGAACGCATTTCAAAGGGTCTGGACAATCTAGTGTTGACGGCCTTTCAAGACGCCCCTCCTGCAAAATTAGATATAGATATCAAGAGATACAGATAGAGACAGAGATAGGTCATAAGATTCAGTAAAACTGTCTTGCGGCGGACCGGATCAGTGTCGTAAGTTTCTCCGATCCTCTCGTTTCCTCCGTATGTACAGCTGCGTTGAATTGAATTAAGTTGGCCGTTGCTCGGCTTGAGCTTGAGTGCTCAGGTGGCTTAGATACCCGTGCAGTATTTGCTGCTATGTCTACTGAACATATGCATATTTTGGCTTCAAAGTTTGGGCCTCAAGGAGATATGTTAGGTCTGATAGATACAGGGCGATATACGTTCACGACGTCCATATGGATTTGTTCACGCTCATATGCTTTTGGCTCGTCTCGGCGACGGGAGGGCTTGAAGAAGAGTCGAACTGGGAAATAGACTCTAGAGCACTATTCTCCACTGCACCCGGGCAGTACAAACCCAACTCGTGCGAACTAGCATAGATACGGTACGAAGAGATATTTAGCTCGTCGTCCTTCTGAGTCGTACGCGTACATCTTGCTACTCACTTTCAAAGACGCTCACCATTTTCCGTTATTCGTCTCCGATCCTCGATAATAAAGGCAACTACCACTAGCCTCCACGACTCCGACTCGGTGGCCCGGAGCCCAAACCAAAAGGATATAAACAGAACGTAACTATCTCCCCTCTATCGTATCTGTGCCTCTCCCCAATCTCAAAGTGGATTGTCGTCCTTGTAAGTTTTGATCAACTGATCTTGGATCATTGATCAAACAAACATATCTTTCCTCCTGTCAATCGAAAGACAGGTTTGTCATAGGAAGAGGATTTTCCGTGATCGCGCTTAGCTTGGACCGCATTGCCGAGGAGAGGACTTTTTTTGGCTTTCGGACAAAATTGGAGAGATTTTTCGGCATTTGACTGGGTTGACCAATTGCAAAGCTCCCGCCATCGCGCCTTGCCTTTTTTGACGTCAATTTTCTGATCTTGGTCTGTGGAACTGACGGATAGCAAGAAGAGCCGGAAGAGGTGTCATAGGTTATAGAAAGGACGTCCGTTCGTGAGTGTGCGCTCGCCATCCGCGTGGATACTTCTTCCTGCCCAGTGTTTCGCGAGAGGACATCCCGCGTGTGTTTGTTTCCCCTGGACACTTCTTCCCTTGATCTTCTCGATCTTCTCGACTCTTCTCAGCCCAGCTCAATTTGACTCGCGCGTGCCGTGCGTGCGAGTGATATACGGACTTCGCGGGAAATCTGCCAGCGCTAGCGCTCAGTCCTCTCTTGATAAACTGTATTTCTATCTATACTCGTTCGACCGGTGGTTAGACTTTTCCTCTTCCCCTCCCCTTCGTCTTCTGTCTCACTTTCTGGAGAGTCTACCTCTGCTTTCCTCCCTCACACTCCTTCCTTATATCCCGACTGCTGCATAAAGTGTACAAGAAGACGTACCTACTGTACAGGGCGACACCTCTCTCCACCTCGAAGACATATTTCTATTGGACGGACTATAGGAGAGCAGAATGGTCTCATTCGTTGATAGGTTCAACGCTAGGGTACGTTCTATCAAAATTTCACCTGAGTGTATGCGCGTACTGATAGAGATACCTTGCGGGAAATGAAGGTCGCAGCATCCGCGTTTGGTCGCTGGTTCCGCCTTGAGGGCTCCGGACACCCTAGACAGCGAGTTGGCTCGCGTTTCTTTGTACGTGTATCTGTCAATGTGCTTTATCGACGGACCCTCATGCGTTTACTTTCCCAATTTCGGCGAGCAGACAGAAATCCGAGCAGGCATCACAACATGGGTAAGCTAAGCCATCTTTTATGATACCATTAACGCGGTACTTATCAGTCCTATGATACGGCTTAACAGGCAGCAATGGCATACATCATCTCGGTCAACGCATCTATCCTCTCCCAATCAGGCGGGACGTGCGTCTGTCCCGCGACTTCGACGGATATGTGCCAGACAGATGCAACCTACGGTGCTTGTGTGAATGAAGTCCAACGCGATTTGATTACGGCGACCGCTGCTGCTGCGGCACTTGCGAGTTTCTTGATGGGGTTGTTTGCGAATATCCCTGTTGGACTTGCACCTGGTCTGGGATTGAATGCCTATGTGCGTGAATATTTTCTCTCGTTTAATTTAATTTGTTGTTGTTTCGCGGGTTCTTTTCTGTTCTATTTGATGTGATGGAAGTGTTGTGTTGAGCCACCATCGCTGCGTTTGTACTGACGAGTCTGTCCTTATTTTTATCTGCGCGGACATGTACACTATACAGTTCACATTCTCGATTGTGGGCTTCCATGGATCGGGAAGTACGACGTACAAAGAGGCACTTGCTGCTGTCTTCCTTGAAGGGTACGTTCTCTTCCGTTCCTTGAAGATTTTGGAGAGCAAAGCCACTTACAAGCCGCTGCTTATTTATTTTCGTTTTTCTTTGAATCTTCGTATTCCCTTGATGTGCAAATCGTTCCTCCTGGCCGTTGTTACTCCGCTTTCTCCATTCGTCGACCTGCCGTACTCTTGTCCTCGTGCGCCGTGTGCCGTGCGATCTCCTCGCTGTCTTGTCTACACCGACCGGTGCTTGGACGAACACTTGGACGAAATATCCCCTTGTTCATCCGGAATTCGAAATGCCCATGGACGTGCATGTGCTTGTGTATATGCATATGGGGTGGATTATATGGCTATTTATGCATACATGGGCGGATCCGCGCCTCGTGAATAACCGTGCCGCCCATTTATATATCAATTATCATTGATATATTCGTGTGGCTGACGTGTTGACACACGTCTATATGACGGACTGACGGACGGAATGGCTTGGAATTTCGAATGGCCAACACAAATTTGGGAACTGTGGTATTGGTATTGGAATTTGCGGACGGCATTGGATCTTTGGATGATCGTCGTCGATGACGTTCTCGGGGCTCGTCTGCGTGCTGTGCCTGCTGTTCGATCGCTTCGAACGATCTATATGCGCACCTCGAAACGCTACCCCCATTCCTCATTTCTGGATATTGCTGCTTCTCGGCGTCGGTGTTCTATTTTCGGACGGATTGTTAATGGCGGCGACGATCGCGGAACACGCTACGCGTTACGACGCCCGCCGGGATCGTCGCTCATATTCATTTTTACCCTCGTTCTCGGCGCTTGTTGACGCATACCTTTCCTCTTTCGACGATTTGACGTTACTTTGGGTCCATTTCACTTTGACTTTGCCCCCGTACGCTTCTTGTCTTCCTATCTTCGACTGTTCGATTTTGTCTGGTGCCGACCGGACGGATGGGTATACAGATGGATATTCTTCATCCTCTCGATTCTTGGTGTGAGGCAGTGGCTTGCGCGTGCGATGCCTCATTCGTTGGTCATGGCTGTCGGTGCTGGAATTGGACTTTTCATCGCGTGTGTCCTGCCCTTCCTTTTTCTCGGGAAGTTTTGTGCTGATTTAAGTGTTTAATGCAGATTCATCGGACTCTGTAAGTGTTCACAATGTTATTTTTACAAGCGAAAGTGATTGGGAATCCTGATCACTTGTATGCTTGCAGCATCAAGTGGTTTGTTCGTGATTGGTGGTGACGTGACTAACCTTGTCGGACTGGGTGGTTGCAAGCCCGAGGGTACGTTTGGTGATGAATATGTTTGATTACATCTTGTTTGCTCATGTTTTTGCAACACAGACATGGTAGATGGCATGGCTAACTTCTGTGCAAGACATGTCTTGCAAAGCCCAACTACCTGGCTTGGTGTCTTCGTCGGCGGGTACGGAGCGTTTCCTGTCCGTTCCTAGATCCCCATTGATTGATCCTGTTGTCTTTTGTGTAGTATCTTGACAGTATTCTTGATGCTCTATCGCGTACGCGGGTCGATCCTTATCGGCATTTTCCTCGTCGCTATCATCTCCTGGCCGCGCAATACGGCAGTGACGTATTTCCCACACAACGAGACCGGAGACGACCTGTTTTCGTTCTTCAAGCAGGTCGTTACATTCCGCCCACTTAAGACCACTGGTGCTGCGATTGATGTGAGTTGATCATCCATCCAACCCTCTCTAATCGAAGTCAAGGTCTGACGCTATGGTTTCCTATAGTGGCACAGTTATAGCACAGGCCGTGTATGGTATGCACTCATCACGTTCCTCTACGTCGACATCCTCGACACGACGGGTACACTCTACTCCATGGCCAAGTTCGCTGGCCTGCGTGATCCAGTAACAATGGATTTTGAGAACAGTACCATTGCATATTGCGTTGACGCATTTTCCATCTCCATGGGTGCCTTGATGGGTACTTCACCTGTTACTGCTTTCGTTGAAAGCGCGACGGGTATTTCGGAAGGAGGGAAGACAGGAATTACGGCGATGGTGACCGGAGTTATGTTCTTCATCTCTGTGTTCTTTGCTCCGATCTTTGCGAGTATTCCGGGATGGGCGACGGGTGGGGCGTTGGTTATTGTTGGGAGTTTGATGATTCGCAAGTACGTGTCAAGCCCACTTCTAGAGGCTAGGACGCGGTCTGACTAACTTCGCTTGTTTTCTAGTGTCCGTGAAATCAACTGGGACTACGTCGGAGACTCCGTCCCAGCGTTCCTTACGCTTATCATGATTCCCTTGACATATAAGTACGATTCACTTCCCTTCTCACCATCCAATACAACCCTCATCTCACCATGTGTGTAATTAGCATCGCATACGGCGTTATAGCCGGCATAGGCTCTTACGTCCTCCTCAACTTCTTCCCCTACCTCATTCGCAAACTCACCGGCGACAGAATCGTCCCACCACTCTACGACCTCGGAGAACAATGGAAAGTCCCTCCTGGTGGTTTTGCGCCACTTTGGATGCGCAATGCAGCGAGGGGACATTGGCGTGTATGGGAGGACGAACAAATGAACAAAGCGAACCACTTAAGTGTGCATGGAGGTAACCAGATGCAGATGTATACGAATAGTGGAGTGAGCGACGTTAGCTCCAAGGTAAATGTCGATGTGTATACTGCACCAGCGTATGGAGGTGGGCTTCAGATGGATCATGCGAATGCGAGGAATAACATTGGGAACCCTATTGTCCCGCCTTTGCATCGGAGCATGTCGGTGGAGTATGAAGATGGGACGTCTACGGGGAGTCCGGTGGAGAAATATGGACAGCACGAGCAGAGAAGTCAGAGTCGTAGTCCGGAGGCTATAGGGTATCCGCCGAGGAAGTTTGCGTAACTCTTTCCCGCACCTTCAGCACCGCCAACCCTTACCAGCTTTCATTCCCTTAGTGTAACTCAACCGTCTATCTATCTCTAAATATTTAACATAAACTAACAAATCCCTTGTTCTTGTTTGTTCTTTTTGGTTTTCTACTATCCACCTTGCCCTCTTCGCTTTCGTCTTCTCTCCACTCGTTTTGTCTTGTTGTGCTCTTTTGATTTTGCTCTCTGGTCTCGTTTGACTTGGCTTGCTTTCAATCCCTCCATCTCCCGAGTGTCGAGCATCCAGAGCTTTCGTTCCTTGTTAATACTTACATGTTAAAATACAATAAATATGTGTTGTGAAGTCGAAATAGTGTTGTAGGTTTTTTGTATATGGTCTAGATTTTTTTTGTACTAAGTGCCGTCTCCAATGAGCTTTACATGAGACAGGAATCAGAAGGTGTGTGAGGTGGATATGTGATAAGGCGTGGAGGTGAGAAGAAATCTAATGAATTGGTTATTTGTCTAGTATAACTTGGAAATAGAATCTTTTAAACCCATGTTATTATTATCCATGCAGGAGTAGCCTATGCTACATCTGTGGAGTCTGTACATGTTTGTATCAATGCGATAAGCTAACGGCTTACTGAACTAAACAACAAAAACAGACTCTATATTATTAAGTCTAATTACTATTAGGTCTAAATTTCTCTGCAAGGTTTGGCATCTCCCCTCCACCAACTGGCTTTAACTCCTTCGCAACTGTCCACTATTAGAGTAGACTCGTTAGTAAAATCAGATTCAACGAGTTATTTTTTCCTGTAAGTCGCACCGGGTGTTTAAGTGCTTCTTGGATTGTCAATCTTTCGCGTGGACCTCGGCGCAGCATTTCATAGCATATATCTTTAGCTGAAACAAGACAGATCGTTTCGCAGAATCGCATATGTTGAATTTAAAACAGTCTTGCTCAGAAGGAAGCATCATGCAAAAAAGGGAGGACACACCTAAGATGCTTACACGTTCCCAGTCCTCGTTTGCGAATTTAGTCGGCGGGTTGTTATACCATTCTAAGTATTTACGTCTGCGGTAGTCAAAGTCATCGAAATCAGTCAACTTCAAAAAGTCCTCTACGTAAGGTGGTCTGCCCGTGATTACTGTGTAAAAACAGACTCTGTAGTTTAAAATGTGAGTCAATTGTGGATCGAACTGATATCCTGGTTTATACAGCTTTTCCGATAACGGCGAACAGTGCGCTGTAAAAAAGACAATACATACCCTAAAGCCCACATATCTACCGGCCTACCAAAACCTTTTCGCAGGTCTTCCTCCCTCGCCTTTTTCTTACTATCTTGATGCTCTACCTGTTTCGCCTCCGGTAATGTGACCTCCAGTGCCTCTCGAGGAAATGAACAGAACGGTCTCTCGTTTATACACATATCCTTGAACGATAGATAGTGTAAGCTCGTATCATTACCCTGTTTAATTTGCATGGCACTGTTTAAAGGTGACATTAATATGTTTTATATCAAGAGGAATGCGGGAAATGATAAAAAGGCAATAACACTGTGAACGTACTAGTCCCACTCAACAATCTTGACCTTCGTGTCGTTGTAAATCACAAAGTTCTTAAGCCTGAGCAGATACATGAGCAACGATAATCAAGCAAAGTAGGCTAGGAACGCACCACAATCCGTTGTGCACAATGCTTCTTCGGTGCATGAAATCTACTGCAGAAAGAATTTGGCTAGCAGCATATGTCTAATTACTCACGCCATCCCGGTTTAAAGAGATGATGATAGAATAAGACTGACGTCATGACAGCTTGCAGGGCCATTTCATTGAAAGGTTGACTTGACGAAGTTCTAAGACGATCAAGCAAACTTTCACCAGCTACATATTCGTACGAAACAACCAATATACTATTCCACTGAAACCATTCGTAGCACCTCATCTAAATTCAGCAGGTTTACCATTACCGTAGAAATAAGGTGGAAAAAGGCAAAAGGAAGTCAGCACACCAGATCTACACTCGATGCAAAGTAACGGGTGTGGCGAACACTCACAAGGCTTTCATGCTTCAACTTCTTTAACGTCTTAAACTTCTTACTCATTTCCCAGTCAGATGCATGGCCGAAAGGATCCCTTGGTGCAATTTTGTAGAAATAAAGGAGCACATCTTGTGGTTTCTGTCCTTTCTTCTTAGTCCACGGCACTCTTTCCTTGGATAAACAAAAATATAACCGCCCTCTGTTCAATGTCACTTATGAATATCAAACTCGGACTCACCATATAGCAGACGCATTTTTGCTTTCCCTTGACATTATTCTTGATATATTCATGATCGCATTTGTATTGGTCTAGTTTCGTTTTCGGCCTCGGCGAGCTCTCTGTTTTTGGAGTACGTCCGTGGTGTGAACTTTTATGAGAGGCATCTGAGTCATAGTCGACACCATCTTCGAGCTTCTGATAACGACCTCTGGCATGGTAATCATGAGAGCCATGGCTATTTGAATGACTATTGCGACTTGAACTGCGCCTCTTGTCTCTCCATCCTTTCAAAACATCTAACAAAATATTCGACATGTTGTGAGTGACAGCAATACTATACCTACAAAGCATAACCAGCCATCGTATTTTAAGCATGAATCCACGACTTTGCAAATCAATGGTTCTGCAATAAAGCACGTAACCCCACATCGTCTCGCCTCGACCTGTACTTTGCTGTGATAGCAATATGGCAGGCCCTAGCAATGAGCAGCAAAGAAATGGGATAATCATCTGCTAATCCATTTGCACTGTGCCTCAGGATTGCAGTTGTCTGGAAGCACAGATGACTTTAACACGCTGGCGGTCTACAAGGAATGCATACGAGAATACATAGTTGTAACGGGCCTAACGGCAAAAAAAGCGATAGACTACTCACTTGTCCTGGACCCTTACCAATATACTGGTTTTGCACTGAGTACTTTAGGCAAAGAACCTTTGGGATCAAGTGCACAACTTTGAAAGGTGTAAGGAACACCATGAGCTGTGCTCTCTCGTCCAAGAACTGTGCACGTGTGTATGGACATACAGCAAAAGCTTACTTGTTAGGGTGATCGGCATTGCTATCTTAAGTAACTATGTCACCTGATCTACTACATCTCACAGTATACACATGGGGCATTTCACAATTCCTTACCTTAAAAAATAACTTACATAATGATAAACATTATTTGAAATTTATTTTCCCATTTTTGACTAGCAAAAATTATAAACAAAATTTAAAACTTTCTTTATACAAAAACTAGGAATTATTGTTAACATTTCTTCATTTGTAAAATCTTAAAATAAATAGAGATAATAATCTAAAACATAATTTCAAAACAAAATTAGAAATTTCCTTTTGAATTTTATTCCTCTGTACTAGTAATGAAGAAATTTAAAAGAAAATTTCTAATTTTATTTTGAAATTATGTTTTAGATTATTATTTCCATTTATTTAAAGATATTACAAATAGATAAATATTAAAAATAATTAATAGTTTTTGTCTTAAGAAAATTACAAATTTTGTTTATAATTTTTGCTAGTCAAAAATGGGAAAATAAATTTCAAATAATGTTTATCATTATGTAAGTTATTTTTTAAGGTAAGGAATTGTGAAATGCCCCATGTGTATACATCACCAAAACGTGCAGGTATATTTACATGTAGACTTTATAAGCAAATATAAGGATCCACAATATGTAAAAAATATATGTCTTAGCAGTAAATTCCAATACATTTTCGTGTTCGATTTGGTGATGTACATGTAGATGGGGGTTTTCACCTATGAAGTTTGAACAATACAAGTGGCACAGGAAAAGCATGTCAGGGGCTCCTGGAGGAAAATAATCGAACAATTAGCATCGTGACAGACAGAATTTACTTGACTCTGCGATCTAAGTTCCGAAGAAGGTAGCACTGATCATCTGCCTTTTACGGTGAAGCAGAAGACCTTTACTTAGTTACTGCGCCGTTGTGTTATTACGTGTTCTTGTTTTCTGTAATTGACCGTTTTAATAAATCGAAATTATGATGACAAGGTAATATATCTTTGTGACTGTGCTTCTCATGGCAAACATTATAGCAGTAAATTCAACATGAATGTCCAGCTATGTACACAGGACCCTTTTCTCTGCTGTCTAGACTCTAGGATTTCAACTCATGCCATCATTTCTAAATTTCTCGGCAAGGTCAGGTATCTCCCCTCCATCAGCCGGTTTTAATTCCTTTTCAAGTGTCCACTGACAGGGTGGTTTAATTAGGATACTCTGAATCAAGAATCTAGTTTAGTCAGACGTACAGATTGATTAAGTGCCTCTTGGATTGTCAGCCTCGCGCACGGACTCTGGTACAACATCTTACGACAAATGTTTTTAGCTGATGCAAGGTACATGGTTTCATATATATCAGAGTTATATGTTATCTCGCAAATAATTATTGTACAAAAGAGAAAACGCACCATCGACGCTTACACGGTCCCAGCCCTCGTTATCCCATTCTATTGCCAGATTCCTAAACCAATCTAAGTATTTGTCTATGCGCCTTCTACCTGGATAGAGCCCATCTTGATATGGTGGGCTTCCAATAACTATATAATAAAAGCATATCCTATTAATGGTTGAATGCGGGTCAGTTTTATACACGGCATGAATAACAGCACGCTTATTAATTATCGCGTCCCTCCGGACAATGATGCAGTGTTGAAACAACGGTACTAACCCTAAGGCCCACATATCCACTGGTCTACCAAATCCTTTTGGCACTTCCTTGTCTTCACTCTTACCTTTGCAGCCTTCACCCCCTGTTCTTTCCGCTTTCGGGAGAGCGGACTTAAACACTTCTGCAGGGAATGAACAGAATGGTCTCCCATTCCTACACATGTGATAGGACGAAAGATAATGTAGGCTTGTGTCATCACTGTGCTTGATTTGCATGGCACTATTTCAATAAGAATAAGTTATCCTTCCAGGATAGAATTACAGGAAACAAAAGTTAAAAACGAGGACGGAGCATAAGCTTACTAGTCCCATTCAGCAATCTTGATCTTGATATGCCTCTCAGTGTCCCGTCTATTGTTCCGGCTGTAAACAATGAAGTTCGAAAGCCTGTTCGAATATATCAGAAACTTCTCCAGCATAGTTACTCATAGGCATTATAGAATGAAGGTCTAGACATACCATAACCCATTATGCACAATACCTTTCTCGTGTAAGAACTGTACACCTTCGAAAATTTGTCTAGAAAAGGAAGTTCGATTATTTACGTTATTTTATCTTACTGACAGAAATTAAAGGAAACTAACTTCATAGTAGTTTGCAGAGTCATCTCGCTAAACGGATCACCGAGCGGGTTTCGAAGGTGACTCAAGAGGTGGTCTCCGGGAATATACTGGTACGCAACGATACACTGCACATTTGACATGAAATAGTCATAACACCTCATCTGAAACAACACAGATCAGCTATTGCTTTAGTGGTAATATAACTCAAGTAAACGGGGAGTCAGGAAGGGAAGCTGCAAATACAGTAAATTCATAAGTGTAATGCGAACTCACAAGGTTTTCGTGCTTCAACTTCTTCAATGTTTTGAACTTTTTGTCCATGTTCCAGTCGGATGCATGGTCGTACAGAGCACTCGGTATTCTCGTGTAGAAATAAAGATTTACTTCTTTCGGATCATGTCCCTTGTCGAAGGTCGATCTCGCCCTCTGAAATGTACGGGAATACGATCACTCGGAACTTCCATATCTCATACATGTACAAGACTCAAGCTCACCACCGAGCAGACCATTGGATTCTTCTTCACGGTATTACCGACATCATATTCATATTGCGCCAATTTTGATTTTCGTCTGGATCGGCTTTCGGTTCTCGAGATGTGCTGACTTTCGGTTTTCGGAACAGGTTGAATCCCGGTCTCCGGAATGTCTTCATGCAGCAAGCTCGAAGCTTCTCCGTCGTCATCACTCGCCAAAGTTTGGTATCTATCTCTGCCATGCTTGCCTCTTTTGATGCTATGGTGGCTTGAACGGCTATGGCGAGTTAAACTGTGACCCTTGTCCCGAATTTCTTTCAAGATGTTCTCCATGTCGCGAATGGAGGCAATATTATGATCGCAAAACATGAACAGCCATCATACCTTTAACATGCATTCCTCACTTTGCATATTCACATCACTCTTGTCCATAACAGTACTTTGCTCAGATAGAACATGGTAGCACGGACTAGGGATGGGGGCGTTAGTGCACTCTGGAAAGGCAACAACGGAAGATGAGGACAAATTATAAATACCTGCCAGCTCATTGCTGCCATATATTCTAAGCTTGCGGTTCTCTGGAAATTCTAGACGCGTAACATAAGCATACTGGATATGAGCAAAGCACGGATGCGAGAAGTTGAGGGCTGGTCAGAGTCATTGCGACTATTGTTCTAAAACGATGTGGCGTACGCGTTGTGGACTTCTCACGACTGATGCTACAATAGCAAAACACGACTAAGCGATAAAATCTTTTGAGGGTTGTTAGACTATATGCAGCTCAGTAAGCCAATGAGCAACTCGGATACACACACATATATATATCACAGCGAGTAATAACAAAGGCACAGTTAAACTTAGAGATAGGAATAAGTTTCACATGCAGAATGCTCACAACTAAATATGTATAAACTAAGCATGTATGAACAGAAGACACCATCAATGTGAAAGTATATAAAAAATCAGTATGAAAGATAGTTTGTCACAATACTATGAGTAGAATTCCATGCGAAGTATGCTTGGAGAAAAACTAGCATAAATAGTCTACAACGGCCATAAGAGTGTCCTTTGTACCCAGTATAAATAATCACCCTTCTCATCTCAATCGGTGGTGCTTAGAAAGATCATACAGCTCGCCTCCAAGCTGGCGATTCAATTTGTGCTCTGCAACAGTGAACCACTGTCAGAATAGCCTTTGTTAGCATAGTAGTCTACCAATACTTCGAGCCAGGAAGAAGGGTTAATTTGTATCCGTACCTCATGGTCGAGTGCTTGTTCAGCTGTTAACCTCGCAGACGGATCTGGTTGTAGCATTTGGGAGCACAAGCTCTTAGCTGCAGGCATAAACAAGTTTCGGCAAAATTAGTCATTGGATCTTACCGGGACAAGAAAGTTGGGCAAGGATTACGTACCATACCCGCTTACTCGGTCCCAGCCGTCTCTGTGCGATTCGATGCTGTCGGATTCGCAACGAGCAAGGACGTCACTTAGGCGACTGAGTTTGTCGTTCACATTATCTTGAAAGGGTAGCTTGCCAGTGACAATATAGTCGAAACTGACACTAAAGGTGATTGAAGATGCATCAGTGCTCTTCAATGTTAATGTTTTTGAGCAACTGCGAAATGCTACGGCAGGTGCGAAGAACATAACAATAGTGAAGAGGTACAAACCCTATGGCCCATATATCCACGGGTCTTCCAAAGCCCATTTTATTATCACTTCGATTCTCTAATTCCCGGAGAACGACCCGTAGCTCTTCCGGTGTGAATGAGCAGAGCGGTCTCTTATTATGGAACATGTGGCTTTGTGAGACGTAGTGCAGGCTCGTGTCATCGTTCGTCCTGATTTTCATAGCACTAAGTAAGAGTGCGTTAGAAAATCCCTTACAGCATTCAATCGTAGATTGCAAGGGCGGGAATGAAGTAGGCAAGAATATGAATACTCACTAATCCCATTCAGGGATCTTGATGAGCTCTGTCGTACATCGGAAGTTTGAAAGTCTTTGGATCATCCATGGTGCCATTTCACTCCGTTAGTAAAGGATGTTTTGGCGAGAGAAGTACACCGGTAGACGTACCACAGCGCATTATGTACGATACCTCTCTCATGCAGGAACTTTATTGACAGCAAAATCAACCTGTAAGAATGGCATAGTTGTTTGCATTATTCTACTTTGTCACTGAGTATGTACAGGAGTGAAGACTTACTGAATGAGCGTCCTTAATTGCAATTCCGTGAAAGGCCCGGGAGGTACTTCCTGATCATCATCTGGACTCAGGCCCCTGGCGGATTTTAAATGCTTTGCAGCTTCTCGAATACGGTGCCTGGATCGGTCACTGCTCTTTGAAGCGCTACTATCTTGACTAGTGTCTATTTCTTTCGCAAAGCGACTAAGATAGTCTTCTCCACAGACGTGCTCGTACGAAACGATATACTCCATGCTCGATTCGAACCAGTCTGTGCATCGTGCCTATAAAAAATTCCATTAGAACATTAGTGAGGTCACATACCGAATTGTCGTAAGGCGTGTGGCTATACAATGGGGATGTATGCAACGAGTAACTCACAAACACGTATCGGCCCGGAAACCTTAGATTCTTCAATGTCTCGAACTTCTCCGACATTTCCCAATCTGATGCATGCAAAACATCCGCGCTTGTCGGCTTCGTGTAGAAGTACAGGGACCTCCTTATAGGTATTTGCTTCTTCTGCACTGCTGTCTAATTAATATTAATAGATAATGCTTTCAAGCTGAGAAATCTCGTGTACGTGCATAAGTTTTACTCACAACGTATGAGACCAGTTCATTCCTTCTGTGTATCTTGTCCTTCTCGTATTATATTGTTTCATAAACTTCGAATACGACGTGTCTGGCTTAGTTTCAGAGTTCCTCGACTGGCTCTGGCTCTGGCGCTTGTCCGCCTGAGAATCATGCGAGTCCTGCCGATCTTTCTTATGACCACGATTAATATTGGTATCGCTCGAACGCCTAATCCGAGTCTTGTCGTGAGAGCTACTGTGACGGTTAAATAGGCTTGCCATATTGAAGACGAAAGGGAAATAAGAACAAAAGAACTGTATTAGCGTACTTTAAATACGATTCTTACGAATCTCGCTGCTTTGAAATGTTCATAAAGTGCTTCGCCACACTATTTAGCTCGCCACGTGGCTTTAGCTCTGATAGACTGAGATCCCAATGTGGCGGTGACCTTTGACTTTCCGCACCCGGACCCTGAGTTCCACGGCCCAAATAGGGATGGCCCTGAGTGATGTAATGATAGAGTGCTCATGTAATTAGATAGATGATAATGTAATGTGATAGAATAATGATTGTAGATCATACCTTCCTAAAACGAAAATTAAACATTCTTTAGGCCGCATACAAGTGTATGGTGGCTAAAACAAACAAAATAATACAATTTTGGTGTGTCTTGCGTTTGTTTCGACTGCGCTACACTACTATGACATCCTCTAACAACTCCGGAGCACTGGAAATGCCAGCTACAAGCACTGAAGGTTTGGAGATGGCATCTTATGGTGCATTCTTCTCCTTTCCTGTATTATCCACTCCAGCTCCGCTTCCTACCACACCACTTCCTCAGCGGGGATCGCTCGAATGGGACCTCGAATACATGGACTACAATATGAGATGGGAGAATAGGCAGGAATTTGATGCTTGGCTGAAAGCGGAGGAGGATAGTAAATGTATTGAACTTAGGGTTGCTAGAAGAAAGGTCTCTGCTGCTGGAGATCCGAGGTTTCGTGAGCGAATAACATTTGTGTGCAGTAGGAACGGTACTGG